AAGACAATAGACAGGGATAACAGACAAAGACAATATATAGGGATAGCGGACAAAGACAATAAACAGAGATAGCGGACGAAGACAATAGTCAGGGAAAGTGGACAAAGACAATAGACAGAGATAGCGGACAAAGACAACAGACAAGGATAACGGACAAAAACAATAGACAGGGATAGCGGACAAAGACAATAGACAGGGATAGCGGACAGAGACAAAAGACAGGGAAAGCGGACAAAGACAATAGACAGCCAGGGAAAGTGGACAAATGCAATGGACAGAGATAACGGACAATTGACAAAGATAACGGACAAAGACAATATTCAGGGAAAGTGGACAAAGACAATAGACAGGGATAGCGAACATAGACAATAGACAGGATAAGCGGACAAAGACAATAGACAGGGATAACAGATTTGGATAATGGAAGAGACAATGGATGTGAATTTACAATACAANTGAGAAAATGAATTGTTATAACCATCAAGCAGTCGCTTTCCCGCAACACCTGAAGAGGATACAATAAATGTTAAAAATCTTAAATTTATTTCATAATTTATGATAAATGTGAAGTTTATTATACGGAAACTTAAAGTTATAAAATCCTGAAAGATAATTAAGAAAATTATTATGAACACAAGAAATATAATAATAATGCTGGGGTTTTCCAAATCAAGGATTAAGTACCATATATAAGTACATGAGTATATAATGCAAATAAAAGGATTAAGCACGATATGTAAGTTCATAATATAATGCAAAATGCAAATAAAAAGTAAAGCAGTGTGTATAAGTATATCAGTAACATGTAATCACTAGTATTAGTCAACAATACGTGTTCTGGGTCAAATGTTCGCTGACAGTAGAGAACCATGAATAGTTAACTTCAAACATGTCCATAATTCAAAAGTATAATTACTTATTATGGCAACAGAGTTATGGTCATATAAATAGATTATGAAAGATTAATTTGAAGGTTTAAAAATATCCAAAAGATATTTTATGGTATCTGAATAATGTACAGTTTATCAGTTATACATGTAAGTTGAACATTATCATTGTGCTGATGACAAGGAAACAAAATAACACGATACGAGATCATGCACGAGCGATTGTAGATCTGCTAAGACAGATGTTATGAAAACTATGTCTTTACCTTCAGGTTGTGTTGTAGTCAACTGGTAAGTTGTAGACGTTATAGTTGTTTGTGTTGAACTAGATGAAGGCGTTTCTGCCTCCGTTGTAGACAAACTGGATGTCCCCGCCTGTGTTGTCGTTGATGTAGATGCTGATTGGGTTAGTTCTGACGTCATTGTGTTGTCTGATGTTGTAGGTGTGGTGTTATCCACACATACGTCATTTCCCATATATGGGCCTGCAACGAACGGATATTTTCAGACCTGAATCTAATGTTGAGGAATTACAGTCAATTAATTAGATAGAAAACGAATTCCTAGTATAGCGATATTGTGAATATATGTAGGCGAAAACAGACCTTACAGAAAAAGTCAGGTTCTTTGCGGACGTTTAAATAGAGTTTCAACTTTGATGAGCGGATTTGACGGGGAAGAGTCCTTTTGAGGTATTATCTTTAAGTAGCGTGATCATAATGGAAATATGAATTTATTAAAGCTACTTGTAATTTATACAAAAACAATATTCGTATCAAACGTTTCGTAACGTTATAAAGATTTGTCTGCCTTTGTGTTTTAAATTAACGCCTATACCATTGCTCGTTACAGCTCAAATAATCGTTACACTTATTGAACTCGTCACAGAATAAACACCAAGTAGACGACAAGGCTTGCCGAACTTCCTGGTTGTAATATTTAACAGTCAAGTACACCGCTAAGGCTGACATTAACTCGAGTTGTATCGTGTAAATAATAACCATTTCGTTATGAATAATATATTTGTTAGTTATTTCTTAGAACATCTGACAATAATAAGAAAATACACATAGGTTGTTCATTCAATATTTGAACCTTTTAGTATAGTCATTTAGCTACATGTGGGTTGGTCGAGTGTTGGTTTTACCTGATATTTAGCATGGTGCTACTGATTATCTAGTTTAATACAAGGGTATGTCACATATACACGCGAGATACAGTTCATGGAGTAGAACTGACACGCCCAGTTGTACATATCTTCAATTGTATAAAATGTGACATGTCCTTGTGTACGTAACATACCGATAGCCGCCATAAGATGACTTGACAATTTATGTTTTCTATATCCATATCATCTTCAAGATAAAAATCAACAAAACTACAAAAACTGGAAAAACAGCTCCATCGTTTTTTATTGGTTGCCATTTTTAGATAATAATGCTAGTAATTTACAAGACAATGGGATGTGATCGATGTGCTGAAACATATTCACAAAATATTGCTTTAACAAAATTAACTAACAAAAACGGTATATTGGTGCCATTGGCAAAATTTGTTTTTTCGGGTCAAGGCTTAGCCAATGTCATGATTTTGGGTTAGGCCATCTCGTCCAGCCAATGATATTACTTCGGGTTATGCTATCTAGCTCAGCCAATGTTATAACATCGGGTTAAGCTATCTAGCTTAGCCAAACTTCGGGTTATGCTATCTAGCTCAGCCAATGTTATTACATCGGGTTATGCTATCTAGATCAGCCAATGTTTTTACATCGGGTTATGCTATCTAGATCAGCCAATGTTATAACATCAGGTTATGCTATCTAGCTCAGCCAATGTTATAACATCGGGTTATGCTATCTAGATCAGCCAATGTTATAACATCACGTTATGCTATCTAGCTCAGCCAATGTTATAACATCGGGTTATGCTATCTAGCTCAGCCAATGTTATTACATCGGGTTAAGCTATCTAGCTCAGCCAGGTATAGACTTTCTAGCTCAGCCAATGTTATTACATCGGGTTATGCTATCTAGATCAGCCAGTGTTATTACATCGGGTTATGCTATCTAAATCAGCCAATGTTATTACATCGGGTTATGCTATCTAGATCAGCAAGTGTTATTACATCGGGTTATGCTATCTAAATCAGCCACTGTTATTACATCGGGTTATGCTTTCTAGATCAGCCAATGTTATAACATCGGGTTAAGCTATCTAGCTCAGCCAGGTATAGACTTTCTAGCTCAGCCAATGTTATTACATCGGGTTTAGCTATCTAGCTCAGCCAGGTATAGACTTTCTAGCTCAGCCAATGTTATTACATCGGGTTAAGCTATCTAGCTCAGCCAGGTTTAGACTATCTAGCTCAGCCAATATTATTACTTAAGGTTATGGCTATCTAGCTCAGCCAATGTTATTAACTCGAGTAAAGTCTATCTCGCTCAGCCAGGTTTAGACTATCTAGCTCAGCCAATGTTATTACATCGGGTTATGCTATCTAGATGAGCCAATGTTATAACATCGGATTATGCTATTTAGATCAGCCAATGTTATAACATCGGGTTATGCTATCTAGCTCAGCCAATGTTATAACATCGGGTTAAGCTATCTAGCTCAGCCAGGTTTAGACTATCTAGCTCAGCAAATATTATTACTTAAGGTTATGGCTATCTAGCTCAGCCAATGTTATTAACTCGAGTAAAGTCTATCTCGCCCAGTCAATGTTATTAACTCGAGTTAAGTCTATCTAGCTCAGCCAATGTTATTAACTCGAGTAAAGTCTATCAAGCCCAGCAGTTACTTCGAGTTAAGACTATCTAGCCCAGCAATTACCTCGAGTTAAGACTATCTAGACCAGCCGTTACTTCGAGTTAAGGCTTTCTAGCCCAGCCATTACTTCGAGTTAAGACTATCTAGACCAGCCGTTACTTCGAGTTAAGTCTATCAAGCCCAGCAATTACTTCCAGTTAAGGCTATCTAGCCCAGAAATTACTTCGAGTTAAGGCTTTCTAGCCCTGCACTTACTTCGGGTTAAGGCAATCTAGCCCAGCAAATACTTCGAGTTAAGGCTGTCTAGCCCAGCCAATGATATTAATTCGAGTTAAGTCTGTCTAGGCCAGCCCATGTTATTACATCGGGTTCTGCTATCTAGATCAGCCAATGTTATTACCTCGAGTAAAGTCTATCAAGCCCAGCAATTACTTCCAGTTAAGGCTATCTAGCTCAGCCAATCTTCGGGTTATGCTATCTAGCTCAGCCAGGTTTAGGCTATCTTGCTCAGCCAATATTATTACTTAAGGTTATGGCTATCTAGCTCAGCCAATGTTCTCACATCGGGTTATGCTATCTAGCTCAGCCAGGTTTAGACTATCTAGCCCAGCAATTACTTCGAGTTAAGACTATCTAGCCCAGCCGTTACTTCGAGTTAAGGCTATCTAGCCCAGCCAATGATATTAATTCGAGTTAAGTCTGTCTAGCCCAGCCAATGTTATTACATCGGGTTATGCTATCTAGATCAACCAATGTTATTACATCGGGTAACGCTATCTAGATCAGCGAATGATATTACATCGGGTTATGATATCTAAATCAGCCAATGTTATTACATCGGGTTATGCTATCTAGCTCAGCCAGGTTTAGGCTATCTTGCTCAGCCAATATTATTACTTAAGGTTATGGCTAACTAGCTCAGCCAATGATATTAATTCGAGTTAAGTCTATCTAGCCCAGCAGTTACTTCGAGTTAATGCTATCTAGCTCAGCCATTATTATTACTTCGTGTTAAGGCTACTAGCCTTGCCATTACTTCGGATTAAGGCTATTAAGCTCAGCCAATGTCACAATTATGGTATAGCAACAGAGTAGTTGGGTTCTGTGATATTGTGTTATAATGGATGTTACTTTGTGAAAGTAATTATTCAATACTTACTAATACAGTATGCTGCTGGGCATAATGCCGGAGGTTGGAGGTAATACACACGATACGAACAGCAGTTCTTTACTTGGATTGTGAGGGAGGATTGACAGTTGGTGAATACAGACGACATGCAGACGGTACGGCTAACAACACCGTCAGACGTGGAAGGAATGGACCCTGTAAAGATATGCTGTTCCATGAAACTAGATGTGAATCTTTGCATATGTGTCAGTGTGGTTTTAGAAATAACTTTTTATCTGCAAATATGTTATTTTGGATGTGACGGTGATATGTGCCTATATGGGTGTGGATGTGAGGGTATATATGTGTCAGTGTTTATGTGGGTGTGAAGGTGTTTATGAGTCAGTGTCGATGTAGATGTGACGGTGTATATTTGTCAGTGTGGATGTGGATGTGACGGTGTATATGTATCAGTGTGGACATGGATTAGACACTGTTTATGTGTCAGTATGGATGTGGATGTGACGGTGTATATGTGTCAGTGTTGATGTGGATGTGACGGTGTATATGGGTTAGTGTTGGTGTGGATGTGACGGTGTATTTGTGTCAGTGTTGATGTGGATATGACGGTGTATATGTGACAGTGTTGGTGTGGATGTGACGGTGTATATGTGTCAGTGTTGGTGTGGATGTGACGTTGTTTATGTGTTAGTGTCGATGTAGATGTCAAGGTATATATGTGACAGTGTTGATGTGGATATGGCGGTGTATATGAGTCAGTGTCGATGTAGACGTGACGGTGTATATGAGTCAGTGTCGATGTGGATGTGACGGTGTATTTGTGTCAGTGTCGATGTAGATGTGACGTTGTATATGTGTCACCGTTGATATGGATGTGACGGTATATATGTGTCAGTGTCGATGTAGTTGGACAGTGTATATTTGTCAGTGTTGGTTAAGTGTGACGGTGTATTTGTGTCAGTGTTGGTGTGGATGTGACGGTGTATATGTGTCAGTGTTGATGTGAATGTGACGGTTATTATTTGTTTAGTGGTATCAATGTGTGCTTGTAAATCTGAATGTTGCTGTATTTGTATGTTTACATGGATGTGTAGAAGTGCGGGTAGTTCTGTCGTGCTGTATTAGTGGATGAATCCTTTGAGAATGTATGTGTGGATGTATTTAGGTCAGGATGTGTGTGTTTATCTGCTTTACATTACATATAAATTGAATGATTTGTTTATATAAATACCTGTCATCCAGAGGGGATTTGAGGTTCCACAATAGGAGCTAGCTACGGTGTCATTGAATAGGTCAGTACCAACGGTCCCAACGAACCTGTGCCATCCCTGGCTGATGAGAATATCACAAAGAACATCGCTTACGTCAGCTTTGTTTGTAGTCGGTAGCCGCCTGGAATCCACAGAAATTTCAGTGTACGTATCACAAGGTTCCTGGCTGCACACTGGACAACAAGGAAACAAAGGAGATAGAGTCATAGAAGTCAAACAAAGATGGTGTTGATTACACTCGGACGACATCACAATGTATATAATTTTTATATTCTGTCACTTCAACACTACCTGATCGTGCCTTATAGTACCGGGTACGTTATGGTTCATTTTTTAACAAATATAAGGCTAACTGAATAATTAGAAGTTCCATACCTAGCTTAGTGCTAAGTAATTATATAATAACGTCTAACCTCTATTTTCAAACTCATCAACCTTTCTGTTTTATTCTATATGTGAATAAAGATAAAACACATAACGAACATATGACGCAACAACAAATGTATCCTACCTTGGCACCCTCCTGTGATCACGGCAATGATTACCAGCAGACACTGTCTCCCATGTCCCATGTTAATTAACTGTCGAACGCTTTAGGTAAATACACATTATATGTTGTGTGACAGAACCATGCATTGCCGACATGTGAAACTAGGAAGTAAATACCTCTGACGTACCAAGTATGCACACAATGAAAGGTATGCTGTAAAGTTTAAGCACAAACGCAGGTAGTTTTCTTATAGAGGTTAACATGATTTGTAGGCATTGACAAATACATGTCTAAAAATAGGACGCTCATTCTGTAAGAGGACAAAAAGATGTGTATGATCCCACCATGTGCTTGATACAGGATCCATCTATCCACGTTTCAGACGTTTTACTGTCGTCATCATGCGTTCCATCTATGACATTTCAGTGTAGAGAATACCAAGCTAGCTACTTCTTTAATTCTTGGTGACCTTGGCGTCCCTTTAGTTTGACTACAGAAAGAAACGAGTGACAAGAGAGGTGCTGAAGATCCTTCCGGGACATCTGCTTTTCTCTGAAGTTTGAATGGCTGCACGACATTGTTAAGGATTTGTTTTTCTGTCCCTATGAATGCTGTTATTTGATTTCGGGGGTGTGCGTTTTCTATTTTACTCAAAAGATGGTTCATGTTGCACACTTGGAGCGATTGTATATGTTATACGGTACATTTTAAATGTGTAGCTTTAAACCTATTTGGCAATTAATTTCTGAATATTAATATCTAAATAAATACACGGTAGGTCCAATTCTGGGATAATCACCTCGCGGAGAGAATTCACTTGGTGGATTTAGCCTATCCGACAACTTAGGCCTAGCTTTGCCTTGAAGCTATCCACTGACGCTGACTGAACCTCAGTTTCGTCCAGACCGTTCCGCTCTATCACAGTTTTCCCCAAAAAAGTGTGTTTATATTGATTTGTTCTTGGCTTTTGGCATGACATAGCACTTTGAGGGGTTTTTGACTGCTCGGTCTACGAAGTTTACACTAGAAAAGTTATCAAAAAGTTTTGGCTTAATTCGTCTGCTGGTTCTTTGTGGTGTTAAGAAGTCATCTGGTTGGAGAGCCGGTACCATACCTCTTTCTTACTATCCTGAAGAACATGACGAGTCTGTTGTTTTTCCGTCTGGAGGACAATGATACAGTCTTTGACTTTCCAACATATTCGTGACACATCCCTCTGATCTGGATCTGTAGTCATGGCAGATAAAACGTACCGCTTTCCGTTGGATTTTCTCCAGCGCCTCAATGTCTTTTTCATAGTAGGGGTCCCATATCACAGAGAGTCATACTCTAGGGTAGATCTTACTAGAGCGATGACAGACATGCGTTTACTTTCCATGGGACAGTGTTTTAAGTTTCTTTTGATGAATCCTAGTGTTAAGTTCCGTTATTTGGTGAATTTCTTAATGTGGAAACCCCGGGTCAGGTCATTTGAGATGTTAATTCCTAAATATACAACAGTTCTCGACGTATTGAAGTAAGTTATTATCCAGTTGATAAAATAATGTGGACTTTTTCCGGATGCTGATGATATTACATTTGCTGGCATTGAATTTCATACCCTACCTATCTGCCCAGTGTTCTAATTTCTGTAGGTCTTCCTGAGGTAAGCGGTGGTCTTCGGGGCATCTTATCTCACAGTATAGAAATGGGACTTTACAGATTCGGGGAGGTCGTTTATATGGACAAGAAACATGAGCGGCCCGAGGAAGGTCCCTTGAGAGGCTCCGGAGTCTACGTGTACGCTGTTTGAGTGCTCCCTTTCCACAACCACGTTCATCTGTCTGTCCTTGAGAAACGAACCTAACCAAGAGTGTAGATTTACCCTTACCCCGTATGCATCCATCTTGTGGAGGATTTTGTCTTGGGGTACCGTATCGAAGGCCTTAGAGACACTGCCATATCCACTTGAATGTTATTGTCATACGACTTTTGTAATTAAAGTTGGTCTCATCCTAAAGCTGGTTAAACTCCCTTTCCAAAAATACCAGGTATTACGAAATTGGTCCAAAAATAAGGATTCTGGAGACTGTTGAAATTCGTTGTTGTACAAGTGGAGCATGCATACGCAGCATTTTTCGGGGATAGTTTGGATACCATTTAAGATGATTTCAAAAAAAATCGAGATCTCTAGCTACACGGTCCTTCTTTGTTATTACTTTGATCTCTTTGTCAGCGAACTGGATATTGGTATGACTTCAGGTGGACGGTAGGATTAAATCCTGCTGTTGCTGTATTCCACTTCAATACCTCTCATGTCAACATCATTGGCGCATGTGGAGCAGGCAATCATGTGGTTTCAGTTCTGACACCAAAACTGGAGAAAGTGAGTCTATCTAGGAGGTAATTATGTATATGTTGTAGAGTACCGTAACGAGGAATCTACCTGCCTTTTATTACTCCTTAGTCACTAGAAAGTGTTCTGAGGTGATCGCGTTCCACTTCAACTTGATGGTGTCAGCGTGCATGTTGTTTCCCCATAATGCAACGCCCAATTTAAATACCTTCTTGCAGCTATTGCAGTGATGACGTCCAGTAGCCCGAGTTTCCTCTGTCCCTGACACCAGACTTAGACATTTTGACAGATAGATCCAGACATATATCTGTCAAAATGTCTAAATCTGGTGTCAGGACCATATAGGAAACGCGGGTTAGACGTTCAGAAAGGCGGTGTGAATGTGCTGATTTTTATCGTATATACAAGCAGCGAGACATATTCTAAAGTGGGTCCATCATCTCCCTCCGACGTTTCTTCATCGGCGTTTCTAGCACCTTGTATAGAACTCATCCATAGTTAGGAGATAGTTTTGCTCCCTGTTCATTTGTAGATAAGTGACAGAAACCTGCGTCTCAGATGTTGCGGAATGACTCGCTGCTCCGCTTCTGTGTGCAGTAGTTGACATATAATAAGCATCCTCAAAATCGCAGGGGTTACGTTTACTAACGTTCTCTGCACATCTGGAATATGTCAGGACATGATTGGAGCGACACCCGACTTCGATGCCAGTCAATGCAATTGTCCGTTATGTTGCGCGACTCTTTTCTTGAACATCAAAATGATCAAACTCATCATTGATAGTAGTCTTACGTACCTGCCCAAGAGTATAGCAGGATCCGGCTGTGGCTTATGACTTTCCCTATAGAACCTTGGTGCAAGCATCACGCATCACTTAGTTGAAAATTGAGTGTTAGTTCAACTTTATCGTAGTGTAAATGTCTTATTTTCAGACGTATTGGATGGATGTAATTATATAAGTCTCACACGTATCTTCCAAATAATCAAATGCGTATTTCTGGTGTTGGTCTGCAAACCCATAACTGTCTGCTCAAGGCGTACACGTGTGTAGTCTAGTGTCTTGTACTTTTGTTAAAAGATATGTCGCTGTCTTATCTACGTGTAATATATATATATATATATACATATATATATATATCATATATGTGTCTTGAAAAAGGAGCGGATCGCTCCGAAAATTTGACAACCTAAACTTGTCCACACTGTTGGAATTACTTCTTTGCCTCATATATATATATATATATACATATATTAAAATGACCTTTATCCATTTTACAAAATTTATGGAACAACTTCTTTCAACTTATAGTGATTAATCTGGTTAGCCTGGATGGTAGGGCGGGAGGATCTTAATGTGGGAGGAGAGGAAACCGGAGTACGCGGAGGAAACCGGAGTACGCGGAGAAAACCTACGTGATCGTGCAGGTAACCCCCGGGCCATATCTAGACATTTTCACGTCCGATCGGTAATCGAACCCCGGCCACCTTGGTGAAAAGCGAGTGCTTTATCGACTGCGCCACCAGACCACTCCGTGTTATATCTTATGATACTGTGTTACAAACAAATATATTTTGAATTGAAACAGCACTAAATTGTATTTATTACGACCATGATTTTGAATTCAGTTCATTGTTAATAGTATATAATACGTAAATTCAAAATGTTAACACCAAATATAATGATGTTATATGTAATTATATTTAACAGAACATACATTTTGTATGCTTGAATTTCTCATTATAAACTGTGGTTGTGAGACAATGAAATACTTGAATCCTATGTTGCGTATCAAACAATTCCTAACAATATCAGATACGTATATATCAATGTATACGTCTCTGATAATTTCGTTCTTGGACTAAGATAGCTAATCTAAAGTCCGTGATAATATATATACCTCCAGCCTCATCCCAACTTTTAAAAAAACTGTTTGCTTTTGCACTAAATCGTGTTTACTGTTTTAAATATTAGTGGTGTGCAACCTATTTCAAGAGACGTTTGGGGCTGACCGATAGCCTCCCTTGAAAGAGTTCTTCATTTGTATTCGCATTCCAAACTTGTTTGTTTCCAAGTGAAAATTATTCTACAGACGATGCGTTGTGGATGAGTTGGTGAACTTTGTGACCAAGATTAATTCATCATGAAGGTTGTGTACTACATATATCCATTTATTTCATTCGAGTAGTTTATCATCCATTGTTTTACAGCTATTTTTTGGTTTTTACTTGTTTGTTATTCCTCCAAAACGGTCCGGGTGAAAAAAGATTGGGTTGGGGCAGTACTTTTGAATGGTTATCGTACAAACACAAAAACGATTGTTCACCTACAAATTGATCAAGACACTTTGGTCGTTTACACTGCATTAGTTAAACGATGTATGTACAAAAAAGGTTGGACACAGGAATACAGACATGTCAGTACTCGGTCATTTCGGTACCGAGATGTTTCGATTGTACTTGTTACAGACTTTCCGTTACTTTCCAATTGCCGTTTCGATATTTAATAAGATTTTCGGCATTTGCGCTAACATTGTAACTTAACTGTTTTTTAGCTTGTTGTTTTCTATGTGTTTCTGATATATATATAGAGATAGATCGCTGGATTCTTTGACATTTTTCGTGTTTACAAAAAAAAGTACCGAAACGTCCTATTCTTAGGTACTGAAGCTACCAGGTACCAAAACATCTAGCATTTGAGTAATAATTCTCCATTTAGGTAACGGTTACTTTTTTAAGTGACAATTTTACTCATCCTGGTGATAAAGTGAAATTCAAACATGAAGTTCATTTTATCATAATCCTATTAATAAATGACCCGTAAAACTACCAATTATGATGTCTACTGTAACTTTTTAATTTTGTTGAATGACAAACTGTATTACACTTTGTTCTCCATTGACTACAATGTATAGTCCTTGTAAGTATCCAGTGAAAATATGACTAGTGAGCATATTATACATATTACAGTTTCAAATTCCTTATACATGTATATATTAATTACTGTAGCTGAGTATAACTTAAGAAGCACTGATTGTTATCGTTAAATTTCCTTTTTCAGCGTGTGTTCAGTCTCACCAGTAAATCCTTTGGTGGCCAAGGGACCATACATTATTGTTGGCAGAAAACTTTAGGCAACTACCTAGCTGTTGTTGGGTAAGTCAGTAGTTGGTCAAGTGTTCCCCAATGTCAGCAACTGTACACAATTGTGGGTCTCTATACACAGTTCACCACCGTCAGTCACTGTACATGTTAGTAAGTGTGAGTGTGGGTGTGCATGTGACTCTGTGAACCAGTTTACCACCATCAGTCACTGTACATGTTAGTGAGTGTGGGTGTGACTGTCTGTAAACCAGTTTACCACCATCAGTCACTGTACATGTTAGTGAGTGTAAAGTGATTGTCTGTAAACCAGTTTACCACCATCAATCACTGTACATGTTAGTGAGTGTGGGTGTGACTGTCTGTAAACCAGTTTACCACCATCAGTCACTGTACATGTATGTAGGTGTGGGTGTGACTGTCTGTAAACCAGTTCACCACCATCAGTCACTGTGCATGTTAGTGAGTGTGGGTGTGACTGTCTGTGAACCAGTTTACCACCATCAGTCACTGTACATGTATGTAGGTGTGGGGGTGACTGTCTGTAAACCAGTTCACCACCATCGGTCACAGTACATGTATGTAGGTGTGGGTGTGACTGTCTGTAAACCAGTTAACCACCATCAGTCACTGTACATGTTAGTGAGTGCGCGCGTGACTGTCTGTAAACCAGTTCACCACCATCAGTCACTGTGCATGTTAGTGAGTGTGGGTGTGACTGTCTGTGAACCAGTTTACCACCATCAGTCACTGTACATGTTATTGAGTGTGGGTGTGACTGTCTGTAAACCAGTTTTCCACCATCAGTCACTGTACATGTTAGTGAGTGGGGGTGTGACTGTCTGTAAACCAGTTTACCACCTTCAGTCACTGTACATGTACGTAGGTGTGGGTGCGACTGTCTGTAAACCAGTTTACCACCATCAGACTCTGTACATGTTAGTGAGTGTGGGTGTGACTGTCTGTGAACCAGTTTACCACCATCAGTCACTGTACATGTTAGTGAGTGCGCGCGTGACTGTCTGTAAACCAGTTCACCACCATCGGTCACAGTACATGTATGTAGGTGTGGGTGTGACTGTCAGTAAACCAGTTCACCACCATCAGTCACTGTACGTGAGTGTGGGTGTGACTGTCTGTAAACCAGAGTAAGAGTGTTGGTAACCTGGTCCCCCTCATTATTAAGTAGTTGTACATGTACTGTTGGTATAAGTTCCCAATCATCAACCTGATCCCCAATGTATGTAGGTGTGGGTGTGACTGTCTGTAAACCAGTTCACCACCATCAGTTACTGTACATGTTAGTGAGTGTGGGCGTGACTATCTGTAAACCAATTTACCACCATCAGTCACTGTACATGTACGTAGGTGTGGGTGCGACTGTCTGTAAACCAGTGTACAACCATCAGTCACCGTACATGTTAGTGAGTGTGGGCGTGACTATCTGTAAACCAATTTACCACCATCAGTCACTGTACATGTTAGGGAGTGTGCGCGGGACTGTCTGTAAACCAGTTCACCACCATCAGTAACTGTACATGTTAGTGAGTGTGCGCGTGACTGTCTGTAAACCAGTTCACCACCATCGGTCACAGTACATGTATGTAGGTGTGGGTGTGACTGTCAGTAAACCAGTTCACCACCATCAGTCACTGTACATTTTAGTGAGTGTCGGTGTGACTGTCTGTAAACCAGTTTACCACCATCAGTCGCTGTACATGTACGTAGGTGTGGGTGTGACTGTCTGTAAACCAGTTAACCCCCATCAGTCACTGTACATTTTAGTGAGTGTGGGTGTGACTGTCTGTAAACCTGTTTACCACCATCAGTCACTGTACATGTTAGTTAGTGTGGGTGTGACTGTCTGTAAACCAGTTAACCCCCATCAGTCACTGTACATTTTAGTGAGTGTGGGTGTGACTGTCTGTAAACCAATTTACCACCATCAGTCACTGTACATGGTAGTGAGTGTGGGTGTGACTGTCTGTAAAGCAGTTTACCACCATCAGTCACTGTACATGTTATTGAGTGTGGGTGTGACTGTCTGTAAACCAGTTTTCCACCATCAGTCACTGTACATGTTATTGAGTGTGGGTGTGACTGTCTGTAAACCAGTTTACCACCATCAGTCACTGTACATGTACGTAGGTGTGGGTCACGGTGACTGTCTGTAAACCAGTTTACCACCATCAGTCACTGTACATGTACGAAGGAGTGGGTCAGGGTGACTGTCTGTAAACCAGTTTACCACCATCAGTCACTGTACATGTTAGTGAGTGTGGGTGTGACTGTCTGTAAACCAGAGTAAGAGTGTTGGTAACCTGGTCCCCCTCATTATTAAGTAGTTGTACATGTACTGTTGGTATAAGTTCCCAATCATCAACCTGATCCCCATCATTGATTTATTAATAAGTTGTGGTACTAGTACTGTTGGTATAAGTTCCCAATCATCAACCTGATAATGATGATCACAATAATATAACATGGAAATTCCTGATTATGATTACAAAACATGTATGTTGTCTTTCAAAGAATATGAAAGATTTTAGTTTTATTGTGCTCAAAAACATGAAAAATGTGTGTAATATCATCATGGTACCCCATAATATATAATAATCTCTACTTTTTTTTGTAATGTATAGCTAATTAATCTAAAAAAGAAAATGAAATAAATATGTGTACAAATACATATGCATGTGATTTTTTGTTTCAGACATGATCATGTGCTAAGAATTTATGATCGACATGGAGATCTGAAGGAAGAATTTAATTTACCTGGGTAAGTGGATGGTATGGGTTAGATACATGAGCAAGAAGTGAAAAAGGTATGTCATTGCTTACTGTGGGGATTGATGAAGTCTGGACAAGTATAGATAATCTCATTAAATTTATTTATATTAAATCATTTTGATTATTGGTCTTTTTGAGGTAATCATATAGAGATGGTGTTTAAGTTCAGAAACTGAAAAGGATTTTTTTATTTTACTCTAGGCTTTGAAGAAAGATGCCAGAATTAGTGTTGGATATATTTTTGACTGTACAGTTTAAATAAAATCAAATGCATTTCTAATTAACTTATCAACATTTTATTTCAGTGAAATGTATATGTCGCTGAGTCGATATTTAAACAGATTTCACTTGAGTCCATATACATATTTCAGGGCCTGCACTGGTATTGGATGGGACAAAGATGGGGATACCTTGGCTGTTATCAATGACAAGAATGGCGTCATCATACTGTGGGACGCGAACACCCAGAGGACATCTCCCATTGACAGCGGTCTAAGGTTTGATTCCTTCAAAAATGCACATTTACATCGTCATATATAAAAGGTTTTCTACGCTTTGCAAAAAAATAAAATTGCTACAGTCATCTTTTTGCTCTCCGACTAAGCCTTAAAAACCTCAACAGCAGGTCATAAACATTACAGGAAAATGCTTTCTAATAATTAATTACCTTGAATGGAAATTTAAAAAAAAGTGTTTCTTTCTAACCGGAGTCAGTGTAACATGGATATGTTTGTATGTAACTGAAAGAATACAAACGTTTCATGGATTGTTAGGAAATAATGATATGCATGTACTTTTTCTTTAACCACAGAGATAGCCTGACTTATATGTTGTGGGCTAAAGCAGGACCCTACCTGGCAGTGGGGACGTCCAAAGGAAACTTACTCATCTACAATCACCAGACATCCAGGTAAATGGTTCAGGTCTTCCTAAAATGACCAGATGTCTGGTACAATATGTATTTTTAGGTCACCTGAGCTTTGCTCAAGTGACCTATTCCAATCGCTTTTCGTCCGTCGTCGTCCGTTGTGCGTCGTGCGTAAACTTTTACATTTTCAACTTCTTCTCAAGAACCAGTGGATGGATTTTTTTCAAACTTGGTCAGAATCATCCTTGGTAGATGAGGCTTCAAAATTGTAAAATTGGGATTCCTACCCCAACCCCTGGGGCCAGGGCGGGGCCCCAAAGGGAAAATTAATCAATATTTCAAAAATCTTCTTCTCCAGACTCAGAGGTACTACAGTGATTTTCTCTACGTGGAAAGAAAGATCATCAGGGGCTTTACTTAAATTGTAAATTTCAGGACCCCCGAGCTATCCGTTCTCCCTTGGGGAGGGGGTAAAGTTTACTATAGTTTATATAGGGAAATAACACTTTTGGGTATATTTTGACAACTTTCTGTAGGAAATTATTTTTACTTGGTGAGAATTATCCTTGGAGGTAGATGGTTTCAAATTGTAAAATTGAGATTCCTACCCCGACCCCTGGGGCCAGGGCGGGGCCCCAAAGGGAAAATTAATCAATATTTCAAAAATCTTCTTCTCCAGACTCAGAGGTACTACAGTGATTTTCTCTACGTGGAAAGAAAGATCATCAGGGGCTTTACTTAAATTGTAAATTTCAGGACCCCCGAGCTATCCGTTCTCCCTTGGGGAGGGGGTAAAGTTTACTATAGTTTATATAGGGAAATAACACTTTTGGGTATATTTTGACAACTTTCTGTAGGAAATTATTTTTACTTGGTGAGAATTATCCTTGGAGGTAGATGGTTTCAAATTGTAAAATTGAGATTCCTACCCCGACCCCTGGGGCCAGGGCGGGGCCCCAAAGGGAAAATTAATCAATATTTCAAAAATCTTCTTCTCCAGACTCAGAGGTACTACAGTGATTTTCTCTACGTGGAAAGAAAGATCATCAGGGGCTTTACTTAAATTGTAAATTTCAGGACCCCCGAGCTATCCGTTCTCCCTTGGGGAGGGGGTAAAGTTTACTATAGTTTATATAGGGAAATAACACTTTTGGGTATATTTTGACAACTTTCTGTAGGAAATTATTTTTACTTGGTGAGAATTATCCTTGGAGGTAGATGGTTTCAAATTGTAAAATTGAGATTCCTACCCCGACCCCTGGGGCCAGGGCGGGGCCCCAAAGGGAAAATTAATCAATATTTCAAAAATCTTCTTCTCCAGACTCAGAGGTACTACAGTGATTTTCTTTACGTGGAAAGAAAGATCATCAGGGGCTTTATTTAAATTGAAAATATCAGGACCCCGAGCTATCCGTTCTCCCTTGGGGAGGGGTTAACGTTTAATATAGTTTATATAGGGAAATAACACTTTTCGGTATATATTTTATCCATTTTCAGCAGAAAATTGCTCAAACTTAGTCAGAATCATCTTGGGTAAATGAGAGTTTTACTTTGTAAAATTAGGATTCCTGCCCCATCCCCAGGGGCTAGAGCGGGGCCCCAAAGGGAACATTTACCAATATTTTCAAATTCTTATCCATTGATGACATGACAAGTATTGTATTTCACTTAGTTTACATGCTGATTTCCACATCACATCTAAACAATAAAATAAAGCTACCAGTATCTATGATATAACTCAGGTGACCGCTAAGGCCCTTAGGCCTCTTGTTATCTAGATGACCAGTGAGTATGTTGGTAGGCAACAAACTTGATATTACGTGGTGTTGGGAGGGATATGTGTCAAGGCAGTGGTTGAAATTCTCTCGGTCATAAATAATGTTAAATTATAGTGTTAGTAAATATAACTTCACTATTGTGGGTCTGTGACTTTTTGTTTTGAACACCGAGGGTTTGGTAGTTAAAATTAATTTTTCCAACCAAATGTGTATTGAGAGCAGAACCTTTGGATTTTGAAGGAAGCAGCCAGTATATGTGATCTTGTAGTGAGGATTATATTAAACTCGGGAGATTGTTTAAATTCTGTACATATATAATTATATACATTTTACAGTTGATCATAGTTTGTATGTTTCTTTACCACAACAGAAAGGTGCCAGTGTTGGGTAAACACACCAAGAAGATCACCTGCGGGTCGTGGAGTAATGAGAACTTACTTGCCCTCGGCAGTGATGACCGCACCATCACAATCAGCAACATAGAGGGCGACACCATCCGCCAGACTTCTGTCAGGTCTGACCCACAGGAAGTCCAGTTCTCAGAAATGAAGGGAGACGAGCGAAGTCAGATAGGAGATAACACTGTAAGTTAAGTAGGAACTTTTATTTACATTATGATTTAAGAAAACTCGGTTGACTCTTAATTTCATGACTTCTATTTAAATTTAAAACTCTTGTTTTGTGTACATGTATTTTTCAGTTTATAATCAATTTCAAGATTTTAAAAATCTGAATAATTTTGATAGTGAAATTTTAATGAAGTTAAATCTGGCCCCAGTATGAACAAACTTGGAATAAGTCATTCTAAGAATAATCTTTGAAACTTAAATATTCTTGATTTTTATTTTTACTCCCAAATGTTCTAGAGTTAGATTTTTATAATTTGTCCACTGTTTGAAGTCAAGAGGTGATTTCTTACCATAAATATTTTACTATTCTTATTAATATTTCAGGAAACAGCCCTTATAATAGATTTTAGATACTGATAAGATAAAATAGTTTTGATTTAAGGCCTTATATATAAATATTAGAACCAGTTACAGGTAAGTTTTGTCAGCAGAAATGAATCTTGTACCAATGTTACAGGTGAGTGTGGTGATTGGTAAGAAGACACTGTTCCTGTACAACCTCAATGACCCTGAGAACCCTATAGAGCTGGCCTTCCAACAGAGATACGGAAACATCATCTCCTATCGCTGGTACATAGCTCCAACAGTGACATTTAACTATGTAAATGGTACATGTATTGATTGAAAGTTACCAAGAGTTCTTTTGGGACTTTCAGAATTTAACTTTGTACTGGGCTTTGTGCCTTAAATGCTTGTTTGGGATTGAATTTTGGGTCAGAATGTAAAAGGTTAATATTGCATATCTAGGAGTTAACATTGAAAAACTAGATACATGTAAATCACAATAGTTTATATCCCAGTGCAATGTATTGATAGCCGATTTATAAATATTATAACTATTGTCGTTATATACACAGGTATGGAGATGGTTACATCATGATCGGCTTTTCTCATGGCTACTTTGTGGTTATATCGACTCACATGAAGGAGATTGGTCAGGTAAGAAATCGTTAAGCTTTAAAAATATGTTTTTGTACCCCAGTCTATAAGTGACTAATCTTACACTTTGTGGGACTAACTTTAATTTGTCAAAGAATACGGGAGTAATAAGGTTTCTGAATTCAATTTTCAGTATTTTAGTCTCCAAATACATGTGTATTTATGTCAGGAAAGTGGATTGGAGATTTGAAAATTTCCACTTAGCACATAATTTAATTGATATTTTAAAATGAGTTTAGATTTATGTACAATAATAGAGTTATTTACAATTTGACAGATGACTGATGTTTGGAATATTCTCGCTAATTGCCTAATGCTATTGTTTGTTATGCTATGACACTATTGGTACATGATCCTGTGATTTAATTGGTCCATAATTACAGGAATTTCAAGAGGGACATTTAAGAATTCCTAAGGTATCTGTCTGTATAATGTTATATATTACATGGGTACTCCATTGTTTTCCTGACATGAAAAATTACAATCAAATAAACTGTGACTCCCTCGTTCCCCCAAAAGTAGACAACAACCTACAGTGTAACCTTGATGTATCGCCACTGTTGTATCACCAAATTTATACACCTTTACCAATTAGTCAAAGCAGAACAATTTTTCTCAAGATGACACACTTGTTTGTAACACCAAAGTTGCATAGTTTCCTTGTGTTTCTAGAACAAGGGCACGCATTCCTATTAGTTGGACCCATTAATATGACCATATGTTTCCATGTAGCTGAAATTTAGTGATTGTCATTGAAAATCAATCAATAAACAATCAGTAAACATCAATAAACAGTGAAAATAATAACAAGTGTTTTCCTTCAGAAGTATAATGTCTGAAGCTATGTGTAGTGATTTTTAGTCAGAACTGTAAGGACTCTGGATTATTTTTCTTTCCCCAAATTTGCATTGTACTCGATGTATCAGTTAGTTTCATCGCTGGTTAGACCAAACCTTTCTTTTAGAATTTGTGCTTGGATTTCTTTCACACAAGTAAACAACAAATATAAACACCTGTAAAATAGCCTTTTACGTCTGATGAGATTTCACTATAAGATTAAGGTTGGTATGTCTTTTTAGTCATTATATGTAGGCTATATGATATCAATAAAAAATTGGTTGTACATAGTTGTTGCTTGATATGTTTTAAATTATCTCAGAGTTCAGAGACAAAATAGCAGGATCAACTATTACATATAAAATAAAAATGCATATGGGCATGTGCATCCATTTTCTGGCTTGTTTAGTCATTCTGTCTATATTTTATATTTATACATACATTACATCTGACCACCATTGTTACAAGTCCTTTGTGACAATATGATATATGGCTGCATCTTCATACTCCCTTCACAAGCTATAAGGTGGCAATATACAGCTATAGGGTTACACTGTCTCTTTAAATCATATTTTTTCATTAAGCAATTTTAAAATTTTCCCATTAACCACAAAACTCTTTCTGTGAAATCATCAGTTGAAAAAACTGACATTAATTGATAGGCCATTAAAAATAAAACCCCAAAAATCATGTAATGCAAAATTGATTGAACTGTTAGTTGTTTGAAATGTTTTATGTAACATTACATACGGACATCTTTCTAATGAAGAAAAAAGCTGTTTAGGTTACATTCATTTCATTAAATTTGTTATTGTTTTTGCTGTTTAATGTTTCTTTTATATTTGTTCATTTCATTTGTTTTAGACACAGCTTGTTTTTTTACATAATTGTACTGGATACCTTTAAATAAAGATTGTTATATGTTATATTTTCTTTCAAAGCTTAACTGGATTATTTCTTTATCAACATGTAATTTATAATCTTATTAGGTTTTCTTGAACCACACATTATGTTCTAAATCTTAGAAAAATTCAGCTTTGCAAAATTACAAATGGATTTTTGAGCGGAAAAGGTAAACACATCATCTTTAGAAATAATTTAAGGCCCTTCAACAATTTATGCATTTAATATCCTTTTCTAAAGAAAATAAATTCAGAATTTGATAAATGTTAATCGATTTTCAGAAAAATGTGTCTTGTTTATGGTCTGTAATTCATTTATAACTATACAGAAAGAAAAGCCTGACTATGATGGTGGTGTGTATTCTGTAAAATTGATATCCCTCTCCTTACTTACCGAGTTTACATTACAGGAGCTGTTCCAGGCTCGAAACCACAAGGACAACTTGACATGTATTGCCATTTCCAACTCCCTCAACAAGGCTGCATCATGTGGAGACAACTGGTCAGTAAGAGAGACTGTGGACCATCTAATCATGATGTTCCATACTTTGAAAACTTATTTAATTTGTGTCCTTGATTTGGAAATGCGGCAATATTTCCTAGTCTGTTTTTAGGTCACCTGAGACAAAGTCTCAAGTGACCTATTGCGATCGCCTTTTGTCCGTTGTCGTCCGTCCGTAAACAATTTACATTTTCGACTTCTTCTCCAAAACCCCAGAACCAATTTCAATGAAATTTTGCAGGGACCTTTCATGGACAAGATCAACAAAAATGGTGGGCAGTTTAGTCCAAAGCCCCCAGGGGCCTGAGGGGCGGGGCCAAAAAGGGTCAAATTGACAAAATTTCAAAAATCTTCTTCTCCAAAACCCCTGAACCAATTTCAATGAAATTTTGCAGGGACCATCCATGGACAAAGGTCAACAAAAATAGTGGCCAGTTTAGTCCCAAGCCCACAGGGGCCTGAGAGGCGGGGCCAAAAGGGTCCTAAGGTGCTTTACCAAAATTGTGAATTTCTTGACCCTGGGGTCTCATGTTTCCCCCTGGGGAGGGGGTAAACTTTACTATAGTTTATTTAGGGAAATCACATTTTGGACCAACATTTGTTTAATTTCCATTGGAAGTAATTCAATTTGGGTTAGCATTATCAGTATTAGGTAGCAGTTTGATAATAAGCACATATCAGCCCTGACTGACCCCCAGGGGCTGATGGGTGGGGCCAAAAAGGGTCGAATTTACTGAAATTTCAAAAATCTTCTTCTCAAGACCCAGATATGGTAGAATCAAATACTCTTCATAGATGGAAGGGTCTTAAGGTTTATGACCCTAGGGTCTCACGTTTACCCCCTGGGGAAGAAGGGGGGGGGGGCAAAATTTATTATGGTTTATAATGGCAAATGATACTTTGAATATTACATGTTAATAACTTGATTGGAATTATAACCTTGAGTTGACAGTTTGATACTTTGAAAATTTTGAGCCAGCCCTACCCCCAAGGGCTTGTGGGGTGAGGCTCAAAGGAGCCAGTGTGCTAAAATTTCTTCATTTTTCTTGTTTAGAATCAGAGGTGCTAGTTTCAAATACTTTTTAGTCTTAAATCTGTATGCTAGATATTGAATAAGCTGGTTTTATTGTTTTTTGTTACTTTGAATAATATTTCTGTTCATGTTAAAAACAAAACCAACTCTCTGTATAAATATATCAGGTGACTGTTAAGGCCCATGGGCCTCTTGTTTCCTCTAGTTATGAAAGTGTTTCAAAGTCTTTATATCTTATGATGAGAAATGTTTCTGTAAATTTAAGTGTGAACTTGCAGTATTAATCAAGGGAAAATAAGCTGCAGGTTGAGCTCAATATAAAGTAAATGTGTGGATTAGCAAGATTCCATGATACATGTAGAAGTGTTTCTACATTTTTCCAACCAGACAAGACATATATTTTTATTTTAAGTCAGAACCATGGTACTCTAATATAAAGATACATCTGATCCATTTTACATTGAAGATATATGAAATATACTAATGGAGGAACGTTGTTTGATCTGTTAAAGTATCAAGATTCACGACTTGTCAGACCTAAAGGAGATGTTTGCCATCATCAACATGGACGATGAGCGAGGTCTAGATAAACTAAACTGGACAGATGACGGTCAGCTCTTGGCAGTGTCGACCCAGAAAGGTAACCTCCATGTCTACCTGACCAGACTTCCCATGCTGGCGTCGGCCTCCTCCACCAGGATAGCTCACCTCACTTCACTGCTAGAGGTCACCATAGAGGACAACGTCAATCAGGTATAACTTACATAAGCTAACGTCAATCAGGTTTATTGATGTACAGTTGGAAAAATTTCATTGTGATCTACAGAAATGTAGTGAATATTCAGGTACAGTAACACATACCTTGGTACTGCTTTTAGGACCCTCCATTGACTATCCCTATAGACGTGGAGCCGTCCTTTCTGGGAATAGGACCGTATCATCTGGCAGTGGGCATGAACAACCGGGCGTGGTTCTACCTCCTGGGAGACAATGGTAGGCAATTCAGGGGCAGACAGACTAAGACTGATGATAAAACTTCATTCATGGAATCTTAATTATTAACCATAAGTATAATTCAACTTGTTGAAATGAAAAGGAAATTATACAATGTAAGGAGTCCGAGTACATTTACGTAATTGTACCTGTTAATTTTTCACATCACTACTGTAGGTTTCATGACTTCCAGTCCAGGACTGATATTTTTTTGATAATTCCACTTTATGAAATAACCTAGCATAACACAAAAACACTATATCGTTATTTACTTTTCTTATATGAGAGAAACATAGGCCATGGAAATTACGTTAATGCCCAGGAAATACAATTAAATACATCTGTGTATTTCAACTTTTACTTAATATCAATACATTTTCAAAGTCTGAGCTTGGACATTTTACATTTGGTAATGACTTCCATGTCTTTAAATTGACTGCTATTATCCATAAAGGCAATAAGTTCGTTTGCATTTCTATCTCTTGTAAATCTGAAGTGACCTGATGGTTTGAGGTATAAGAAGAAAAGGGAAGTTTAATAGCTATATTTACCACTTTTTACAGTGGAGCCCCATTTACTCGAACTTGTATTACCAAATACCCCATCATACCGAAATAACTTGGTTAAGGACTGAGAATACCTAGGGGCTGGAAATTTGTACAAGCTTCAGTTTCATTGTAGGACTTGAAAAACTAAAGGACCGGGAGTACCTAGGGACTGTGGGCACTATCTGTCTCAACGCTGATTATGCTGCTGTCAGCTTCGAGGGTCGAGTCCAGCTTCATATGGTTTGTAGATTTATTATTTTTCTTTCCTGGGTCCAGTCCAGTGAATGTATTTTATATGGTAATGCCTGTAGACATCAGTTTGTTGGAACTAGCTACCTCAAATGTACTTCACTGAAATTTTGTGCAGTTTATAAAGTGTACGAGGTTTATAAGTTGAGATATCAAATTTTATATTTTTTACATTTGAATATGTTTTTTTTCCAAAATAACTATAGATTTCAATTTAACTTTACAGTTCAGTTTATATTTCATTGTGAATGGCATTAGTTAACCTATTACATTCGTTTATGTACTGATAGTTATGTTTGGTGACGGTGAATTGTAATGATGAGGAAAATGAACCAAGTGTGGAATATCAGTGAATAACCCATGTATATCTTCTATCATCAAACTTATCGCAATGCCATTTATGATAAATGGTTGTTACATCATGATAACTTCAAACTTGTACTTTACAAAAACTGATGTTTTAGTATAGTTGGTACATATTATGCATCATGATAACTGATCTGGACCACAATACATGAAATCTTGTTAATAGCTGGAGTTAGTTCTTGACTTTCCATTCAACATATAAATTGTTTGTAATTATCTTTTAAGGTGTGACAGGAAAACCTGAACATTTTCGGGTTGGGAAACAGTAGATTATATATGAGCTCTTGCTTGCATGCAGTCATAGTGATTAATTTGATAGAATCTAACTGTAAATTAAATAATGTGTGTGTTACAGATTGAGGGTGAAACTGCTGGAACAACGGATGAAAGAGAATCCAAGCTTTTCCCTGACATGGACCAGCAGGATTCACGCATCACCTGTCACAGCATGACCCAAGATTTCCTTATCTTCGCCACAGATGTAAGTAACAGGCACAGTGTCAGACAGGTGATAGTGAGAACGTAAGTAAAGGGTACAGTACAGACACTCTCGGACTGGCTGGGAGCATGAATGTAAAGGGTGATTTGTATGCTTTAAGAATTAACAAGGTGGCATGATAGAGTCCATTGAGCTAACACTTCAGACACTGAAGTTTATCCCCGATCAAATAGGGGGTATATATATAGGACAAAGTGAATAGTTATATTGCCTTGTGGTAAATTATCATGTTCTGTTGGTTAAAATTACATTATTGTCATTAAATTATTTAAAATACACTATATTTACAGTCAGTATAGGGGATTTTTTTTTAACATTGATCACATGTTGAAAACCTAACCACTAAGCTTTCATGGTTACTGTCCATCTTGGTCATGCTAGTGGTGGAGGCTAGTTGGCATGGTTACATCAGTCAAAGGAGTGACACAACCACAAAGGTGCTTGCTGTAAATGGGAGGCAGATTATACCTCCAGCCACTTATGGTGAGGTTCAAGCCTTATGTGATATGGCTTTCTTGATATCTTGCTCTACCTGATCTTTTTCCCTCCTTAGCATTAATACAATGTCAGGGCTTTTCATCAGGGCATGTAGAGCAGAGGCATAAGAGGTCAATGCCTTGCTTTCTGTGGGTCAGTATGTAGTGCTTCTGAATTTTGGTGCCAATATCTCTATATTCATGATATACCTGGTGGGATGATCGGCAAGTGGCACATTGGATATTGTAGATCTCTCCACACTTGTTCCCTTCCTTCATATTTCTTTGGGGGATACTAAGAATTTTCTCCAACTTTGACTGGGTTTGAAGTGGACACTCATGCCCTTCTCTTGGACATAATAACATGAATAACCACCTATACACCTCTTAGGAAAGCACCCCACTTGAATCATTCCATTGATTTGTCTGATTCTCTCACCGTTCCTTACTCTTGAAGAAAATGGCTTTGACAGTTGAATATGAGCTACGTGCTGATCGTATCTACTAGTAATCCTCGTCAGTGGGTCAGTGTAATCAGCTTGTATCAATGGGAAAACAGTAGGAGCATTTTAAGGATAAATAATTTATTTAAGTAATATATAACAATGATAATAGCAACTTTTGGCACACAACAAGGGAGATCATTGATCCATAAATTAATATACAAATGCACAAATGTTAAAATTGCACCATAAACTAATCTTTGAGCTTATTTGCCATTGGTGTTTCAAGATGAAGCTTGGCAATTGTGATACAAAGCCAATGGTCATGGAAATCGTGCTTCCCATTTCTTTAAAGAACAATATATATTAAATAGGACACAGTTAAAGGTCCATGTAAAGCCTCATTGGGTTTGTCTATCAGGTATCTAACTACATCTAGAAAACAAACAAAATGTTTCTGTCACAGCTGGTGCAAGGTCATCGGAGGTCAGAACATGATTTGACACAGCACTTGTTATCTCGGCGATTATGTTGTTACTCTCTGACCCCTCCGATGTGAGAGTAAGGGTACATAACTCCGTTATTTGGCTAGCTTTGTTTTGTATGAACTGACTGTAGGCCCTCCTGACTCCTTTCAGCACTGATTTCCGGGTCATTAACTGTAACATGAAGCCCCTGTCTCCATTCAGTTGGGCATCGAACACCTTTCTGGTGAGAGATTCCAACTGCATGTCTACAATTAAATATAAAATATATTTAAACAGGAGCCAAATTTTACATTTGAATGCAAAAATTTGCAAATACAGTATAACCCAGATGTATCGTCACTTGTGGTACCGCCAAACTCGCAAACCGCCATCAATTTTGTCAGAACTGATTTCCCCACACTTAAATGCACTGCTGTACCGTTAAACTCGGGTACCTCCATCGGCCACAATGTTTTGAGAACAGTCGTGTAATTATCCCTTTGTGGGCCCCCGATAACACCGCCATGCTACGTCACAGAGAATTTACCTGTGTCGTTGATTTCACAGCTGAGTGAGCCCTGTGGGTCAGTTTTATAAAATTTGTTGTCATTACGTATACAATGTAGTATGTGTGCCTTATTAATTAACACCTGAATACAATTCACCAAATTCACACCAAGGCTTCTCCAAAGAGGAAACGGCTTGTTTTGGATTTTGAAAAAAAAAAATGAATATTTTTTCAATTTTACGATTCAAATCCAATAGCTACACAACAAGATATTGCCAATCATTTAACTGCTTTGTAGGATATTTCCTATTAAACGTCACACTGTTGGTGACATTTTGAATAACAAATAGAAAGTTGCTTGAAACTGACAATCTGGTCGATACGGTAGGCCTACACTACATACAGTACAACAAACGTTTATTACTCGCATGCAACATAATGATCGTACAGTTACTATTGCTCATTTAAATTTGCAAACTATTCATTGTATCAAAATGTTTATGTACAATAAAAATTGCATATGTATACATGCATGTTGGAATTTTGATTGTTTAGATGTGGCATATGTGCACCTGATCAAACATACGTATACGTACATGTATACGTAGATCACTTGCCAATTAACAGGAGAACTTGTTGTATCGCCAAAATGTCAATTGACGGAAGGTGGCGGTATAACAGAGTTATACTGTAGTGGTTTTAAAATGTAAAATGTTTTTAAGGTTAAAGGTATATTAATCAGTTTAAAATGGAGAAGGTTCACTTAAGGCTGTTTTTCTATCTCAAAGTATAATCAGATATAAATGCAACATAAACAAGTTTTCTTACTTAAAGTTACGGAAGTCTGCAAAGTATTCATCTTTCATTTTGATGCTCAGCATAATTTTGATTTTGTATTGTTTAAAGGCTCACTGTCAATTTTAGTCATTTAGGGCCAAGCTGAGCAGGTAAAAAGTAGGACTTTCAATGGATATGTCCCTAATGTGCCCCCTAACATTACTATTGTTCTTTTGATTTATATATTCCAACTAAATCTTTTTGTAATTGAATGAAAGGGAAACCTGCTCCTAACACCCTGTCAATGATATGGTACATACCTATAAGTTGAAGTTGTCTTGTGGCATTCTTGTGTATTGTCACAAGTTTCTGTACATCTACCCCAAGGTTGCTATTTGAAGTCTTGTCCATCGTTAGATAAGGCAGGTCAGTTTTGAACACTTGGCTAATGTGTGAAGTGTGTTTGAACTGGAGAATGTCTTACAGGCTTATGGAGGTGGTACTAATTTACCAGTTGAATGACCATCCTGAGGGTCTACTTACTTATATACTCTGCGATACTCATTGGCCGGTTCTGGGCACCTCTGAGATTGGTCTGTGGTTAGTTATCTATGAGATCAAAAGATCTATGTTAGGAAATGATGGGTGTATTGTGTATGGTGTAAGAGGATCAAAAGCAGGTTAGTGACCTATTGTCTCACAATCTAGGAGATTTGTATTCAGTGTTCAGACTTCAAAGACAGCAGTCCTCACACCTTGTGTCCACTATCTTTTTATCAAAGCTGGACATCCTCTCATTGCATTGACTTGGTAGACTGTGTCCTCAGGCCATTGTCCCGGCGATCGCTGGACCAATAGACCATGACCTTATATATACTGATCACTAGACCATGTCCACTGACCTTTGTCTGCAATGTACTGTGTCCTATGACCTGGGACCAGTGAACTGTGACATGACCCTTTGTGTTGAGTGGTGATCTGTTGTACCTAGATGTTTAGGGAGGTGTTAAGTTGTCAGTAGAACAATAGAACCAGGGTAGGAGGATACCCTGAGGTCACAAGGAGATATGCATGAAGGACCTGTACAGGGTTGGTTTCTTGTTCTTTTTATTCTTAGTACACAGTAGTACATGGAAAGCAATATATGCTAGTCATTATTTTCTTTTTCACTTTGTGTCCAGCAATGTTATAAATACTACAATTTATATTGTAATTTACATCAATTTAAATCCCAGCAATAAAACACAGCCTGATTGTCTTATTTGGAAAGTAGTTGCAAATACTATATATAAACTATATAGTTGAACAGAATATAAACCTTTTATGACTATATTTATTAAGGAAATGCTGTCAACAGAACTGTTTCCTATGACATTATGTATACGTAATTACACTGTAATATAAATATCTGATGACACTTCTATGTATTACATGTGGCTACACTGTACTTATATATAACATGCTGTGCTAACACACATGATGATGCTGGGGTAAATATGTAACAATTATGGACTCTGGGTGAATATGTGGTTACTGTATGTGGACGTGAGATGAACTTTAAGTAAATGTCGTTTTTTTATGTCCATATAACCGCATACTCACTGAAAATAGAAGCCCTTAATTGTAATATAAAAATATGATTTTCTTAATTAAAAAGATTTAACATTATGAAAAACAAATTTCTGTATTTGGTAGACAGTATTTTGACATAACAATTGTAGTGACATTAGGAAAAGAATATTACATATTATATCACCATAATGATCCAACTAAAGAGGATGTAGCCAAAATTGTGTCATCTATATATAGTGTCATCTAAAAATAGTGTCATCTAAATATAGTGTCATCTAAAAATAGTGTCATCTAAAAATAGTGTCATCTTCTAAAAATAGTGTCATCTAAAAATATAGTGTCATCTAAAAATAGTGTCATCTCAAAATATTGTCATCTAAAAAAATAGTGTCATCTAAAAATAGTGTCATCTCAAAATATTGTCATCTAAAAAAATAGTGTCATCTAAAAATAGTGTCATCTCAAAATATTGTCATCTAAAAAAATAGTGTCATCTAAAAATAGTGTCATCTAAAAAAATAGTGTCATCTAAAAATAGTGTCATCTCAAAATAGCATGTGATTGCACAGTACTAGTATGTGACATCTAAATATAACATGTGATTCCACAGTACTAGTATGCGACATCTAAATATAACATGCTTGCACAGTTCTAGTATATGACATCTGAAGGGATAGACATGTGATTGCACAGTTCTAGTATGTGTCATCTAAATATGACATGTGATTCCACAGTACTAGTATATGACATCTGATGGGATTGACATGTGATTGCACAGTACTAGTATATGACATCTGATGGGATTGACATGTGATTGCACAGTTCTAGTATGTTACATCTAAATATAACGTGATTGCACATTACTAGTATGTGACATCTAAATATAACATGATTGCACAGTACTAGTATATGACATCTAATGGGATTGACATGTGATTGCACAGTTCTAGTATGTTACATCTAAATATAACGTGATTGCACATTACTAGTATGTGACATCTAAATATAACATGATTGCACAGTACTAGTATATGACATCT